AAAATTTTGGTTTTCGCAGGCTCTCGTCATTTGTTTCCCAATCATTTTCAAATATTGCTATTTATAAGGCAACCTGGGGCTCTTAAGATGTCAAAATAATGAATCAACAACAATAATTTCCGATATGGACTCTGTTTTTCCTTGAAGCCAATTATAATTTCAAGTAATATTAAAAAAATAATAAAGGGTTAAATACCAGTGACAATTATATGCCCAGAAAGCCAAAGAATTTCTACATGAATGCACACTTTTATTATTTACCTAGGAGAAGAAATGCGGCTACTAATGACGATTTATCAGGTTAGTAGTTAAAACATTTTCCAACAGACCAAAGGAATGCTCAACGTGTAGACGACAAATTGTGTTACCTCGTATTAAGAACACTGAAAAAGTCCTTAATCGAAAATTAAAAGCGTTTTCCCTATTACCGATTTTATATGCATCAGATATCAAAAACTCTCCGCTGACGACTCATCAACCGAACGAACCCTCCCCGAAGCGGAAAAAGAAAACCTGCCCGTAAAAAATCAGACGACAATTTTCCGCTCGGCTAGCGAGTATCGGATTTCTTTTTTCAATCAAGGCGGTCACGGTGCTCTTCGCTTGTTTTATTGAAAAATTTACCAGATTATGCGAAAGGGAGAGCTAAACAAGATTTGCAAGGGTGGTCGAAGAGGCCAGGTAGTCGGTATACAGCATATTACCATCTATCAGAATCGCCCAATCGTGATCGTTGTAGTTGCCGATTCTGTTAGATGGCATTAGTAGAATATGGTTCGATTGACCCTGGGGAAAAATCGGTAGGTACCCAGCAGAACCAACAGCGAGATCAAACGATACCGCATTTTTTCAGGATTATTAAAATGTTCCCAGGCTCAACCGGCCCATGCTCTATTAACAACTCCATAACTTTGATAGAGGCTAGGCTCTAAGGGCCGTATCATTAGTCGTTCCTACAATCGTAGGACGCCTTTATGGCCTCCTTGACTTTCATATTTTTTTCTGTGCGTCAGAAAGCGCTCTATTTTGAGGTTATGTTGCAAAGATCTGTTTGCATCAAATTGTTTATGCTTTTGATTTTTTTCATCGGTTTAGTCAACCTGAAATTTCCTGCAATCCAAAAAGAAAACATTATTAGGAGCAGAGCGCTGACGTTGACACGGAATAGTAGAAATCTAGAAATACCCCAGCCTTGAAACTATGTTTAGGTCAATTCGGATATTTTGGTCTTTAGTATCTCCAGTTGCAAGATTTTCCAACATTTCGCAGACAGAAATATAGTAACATGTTTTATACTGGATGTCCCAAAAGTCATGGGTCACACGAATGGGGGTGATATGGGTCATTTTCAATCAGAATGTCCTCCGATTGTACACGGTTTTTGAGTTGCCGACACTTTTGAGAATTTTAAGAAAATCACTTCTTTCGATAATAAAAGCTGTCAGTGAAAGATTAGTGCAGTTAGTGTAGGTGTATCAAACGGAAATTTATTATACTCAAGTCCTAAGCAATAATGTTCTCTGAGTATTCATGACTGCTCATCGTATACACATTATCTGTAAAGAAAAATTCTGGGGATCTTATCTGGAGCATTACTCTCTGTTTCATTTGCTATGTTTGATTCCTATATTTTTTGATTTTATTATGTGACCTAGGGGATGGTTTTTATCCCCTGGAACGTGTTTCCGTGCATCATTCAATAAGTAACGATGTTTTGGCTTTCATCTAATTTTATATATTTGTTGTTTTTCAAATTCAGTTTTTTTAATGCTTTTTAATTTGTTTTTTCTATTCCATTTTAGAGAATGTTTTATATTGTTGGTGTCTGAAAAATCATATGATAACTTTGAGTAGTATTGGTAGACATTTACTGTCACCGTCTTTGTTCATTGCTCAATGTTATTTTATATCGTGGGGTATTTTCTAAGCTATTTTCTAAATCAACTTTTTCACTGGATTACCTCATGTACTGTTTCAAATTCTAAAATCGCTTTTATCGTACTCCCAGGAAGGTAAACTAAACATCGAAACCTTGACCGTTGAAACGGACAACATTTAACGGATGCTTTCGATACAAAAAGCTTAAAGAAGTACATAAAATTGAGAAGAAAATATTAATAACAAATATGATGGACGTGTTCTAGCATAATTTGTAGTGGGGGAGAACCAGTTCAAGAAACTCAACTTTCATGAAAGGATATGAAATAAAGCAATTGTTTTGGATAAGGTTTTACTACATTACATAGGAATTGATAAAACGAATTATCAAGAGAACAATTTACCATCAGTCAGCATGGCAACATTTCGCGGCGAGCGGCATGGATTTCACCAAATACCAACAATAGACAATCGCAGCTGCAATATATTAAGCAAGTGGAGAGCAGTGGTGGAGGAATTGAAATATATTCACGGGTGAGTAGCGACTTTTGCGATTAACTTTCTAGGAAATACTTAACGAATAGTGTATCTGGAAGGTAACTCTAAAAAGTATAATAAATAATTCTTATACATTCTTTTACTGAAGAAGCCGCGAAGCTAGAACCCGAAATACCGAGGTACTGTAGATACTAGGGACTATTTGTTAAGTTAAGAACAAGGGAGTAATTGTAATGACCAGTTCCTGATGTAGGGGTTAAAATGAGAAGTAGCAGTCTGGCAGACTCATTTAGCAGACCCTCGAGCAGGCCTACTGCGCGATGCTATCATGGAGAGAAATTCAGAGGAGCAAGGTTACATGGTTGGACCTGATTTGTAGCTTTAATATTTCATGAAACTGTGCGACCATACCACTGTGAAGAAATTCTGCATTTTTTTCTATAGCATGGGACCAGTATAATGCCCAGCTTGCTCCAATGTGAAAAGATTCATATTACTCTGCCAGATACCTTTGAAAATTGCATTAACACTTAGATCCAAAGTATTTCTGGTTACGTAAAATTGCAGTCCCAAACTTATGAAGAAGTGCGGCCTTCCGTTAACAATACTTAGAAAGGGCATAGTTCAAATTATGCATCCCAGTGGTGCTAATGTAGCAGATTTTGACGGTTGGTTGCGTCATCGATATAACAAAATAACAAAAACTATCGATTCAGCCCGTTAGTTGCATTTTCAGGTACTGCTGTTTTATAATACAGATATGAATAACATGGGAATCGAAAGTGGTACGCCCATGTCGTGGGTTGTCACAGTGACAAGCACAGATTAGGAATACTCATACTTAGACATACTAAGACCTTGGTCTATACCACTTATCATTTCGCTATGTCCATTTTCAGCCGGAGTACCCTGTATACAGTATTACTGACGCCACCACTGCTTCAAGCAAGAGCGATAATTTCATAAGGGGATTTTAATTATGGAAGCAGCTCTCGACAAATGAATACAATGCCGAGTAATCTTAGGTTCACCCCGTTCAGTTCGCTACAGGTGCAGCCCACTGAGATGTTATTAACGATTTCAATTTTGGCCACAATTGTTCATTTTAATCCACATAGGTAACTGAATTGCTAGTGTTTATGACATGCATCGAACAAAAACATTCGTTACTTTTGGGAATTGCTCTGCCATGTACAGCTTTTAGATGTATATCTATGAATTGAAATTCCAAGAAATTGATTATAGTGGTAAAGCACTTAGGAGCAGAATATTTTAGACATCGATTATATTTCTAATAGCTGAAATGGAATGCTCGCAACCGTCTTCCCAAGTACCATGCAGTTTCAATCCGTTATTCAGTGTATATTGGATGACTTTTTGGAATTCGTGCAATGAAATAGAACCTATTCCTCTGACGACTGAAAAGATTGACCAAGAGAATACTCATTCCTTATATGGATAGAACGAGACATTTGATGATAAGCTGTCAGTACCAGAAAGAAAAATGGTATCTCCCTCATATTTGTGGCAAAAGCATTTAGAGCAAAAGCAGGGTCACATTCTAAGTAATGTAGTGAAAAAATGTCATACGTCGCAGATTTAACGAGTAATTTTGTGTTTAAACTATACAGTTTTAGGCTACTTCCGTTCAGGGAAAAACACCCATATGTATACCTTTTGGGAGCAAAGTATTGGTATTCACTTGAAAAAGAATTCATGGAAAATACTTAATTTGCTTCTATTATATCACGTAGTATCGGCATCACCCTCCAGCCGAGCGGCTCGCATGTTTTCCAAATATTAAAGTTATTTATATTTTCCAATTTGAACGAGTTTGGCTTTAATTATCAATGGTGAATGCGCTTGGCCTCATAGAAAGTGCACATTCATCACTATTTTAATAGTTCCAAACTACAATACGCCGCGCCGCCGCCGTTCAGATTTGACGTAGAAATTGTTACGGCCAATCCTGGAAACCTTAATATGTACAGTATTTTTATGATATCCAAAAAAAATTAATCGCTTTTTCTTTTGTATTTCCTCAACAGATTCTTTTCATTACCTAAAACCGTAATGTTAACACCTGAAACTGTCGAAACGTCAGTAAAAAGTAATTCATACGTTGGTGGATCCTTTTGGGCAGACTTTCTAACTAGAATCGTATTTCTCGAAAGAAATATTCGCATCCGTTCTATGCTCTACCTCATATTGTAATCACTTGGATGCAGCAAAAGCCCTTCTGTATCCCGTAAATCTCTCTACTGGCTCGCACCCCTTCGATAGGATTTCGATCGAAAGGGGTGCTTTGGATCCAATTCGGCGTGCTGCCGATACCGCCCGTTGCTTCTCGCACCTGTTGCTGCCCTTTCTCCTTTCCTCAATCTGTTTTCCTTGGACAACTTCGGACGATGGTTACTCATTTTCACAATCATCCCCTATTCCAGGAGTTCCCAACCAGGGCGGCGGAAAGCGTTTGCATTTTAGGAAGGAAACACAAAACAACATTAACAAATACCATTATGCCACGCTCCGCTTAATATTCATCACTTGTGTACCTACCAGACGCGGATGAGATTCTGTGACATTCATTCCCACAAACTTGCGAAAAATTTGACGTTTCGATGTACATGTTTTTTTGAGAAATCTGTTTGAGTGTATCAAATTATTGTGACTCACTCTTAAAAGGTAAGTTTGTGTATTTACAAACTTCTGATACCATTTTTATTTAATTTACTAAATTGATGATTGATTGGAGACGCGTTTATAGATCGGTAATTGGGACTTTTTTACCACATCACAATCCAACCAACGTGGCGAAATAATTTTGAAACGACGAACTTTAAATACCTAATATTGATTCCAGAAGTATTTAAAATAACTATTGTAACGTCATCCCGGTGGCCAATATACTGTATACATTACGTTATTAAGATAAAATAATGGGCATATAATTAGTTATTACACGTAGGTATTTTGCTTATTTATTTATTACTTGTTATATTGTTATAGGTGCAAAATGGCAGTGAAAAAAAGAAAGTTTTCCGAAGATTACGTTAAGTTTGGACTTACCTTCATAGAAAAAGACGAGTTACAATTTCCTCAGTGTGTGATATGTATGAAAGTTTTAAGTAATGATAGCATGAGGCCCAATCGCCTTGAAAGGCATTTGAAGCAACAATATCCTACTCTGGTTTTGAAGACGAAAGAGTTTTTTCTTGTAAAGCAGAATCACTCAAGCGGATGAGACTGGATAAATCGGGAAGTTATCACACAGGTGTATCGCAGCATCTCAAAGCTTCATTTGAAATAGCTTTTATGATAGCAAAGCAAAAGAAACCTTATACTATCGGTGAAGAATTAATAAAACCATGTGTCCTAAAAGCCATACAGATAATTTTAGGAGAAGATGCAGAGCAAAAAATGAAGTATAGTTCTCTTTCTAATAACACAGTCAAGCGTAGAATCGATGACATTGCAGCAGACATAAAATCACAAATAATTAACAAAGTAAAATTATCGCCATTTTTTGCAATTACTTGCGACGAATCCACCGACATCGTTAATTGTGCATAGTTAATAGTTTATGTTCGTAACATCGGCGGAGATATCATTCAAGAAGAAATTTTGTACTCCCAATCTTTGACAGCAGGTACTAAATCTGAAGATATATTTAATTCAATATGAACTTTTGTTGAAAAAAATGATTTGGATTGGAAGAAACTCATTGGACTTTGCACAGACTCGGACTCGGCTATAAGGATTGTAAACTACATCAAGAGTAGCGCTTTGAAGAGTCGGTTATTTACTTTACTTTGCGAGGATCTCGATTCTGATCACACAGTTCGTCAGTTCCTGTTCATACAGAAGTACGCTGGCTGTCCAAAGGCAACATGTTGGCTCGCTTTTATGAATTGAAAGAAGAGGTAATTCTTTTTCTTGAGTTCACAGAAAAACACGATTTCTTGACAATGTTCAAAGATGACACATTTCAATGCATGTTGGCTTATTTAACTGATATATTTGACCCCTTGAATGTGCTAAACTTGAAACTTCAGGGCAGAAACAAAACTCTAATAAGCAATTATGATTATATTCAGGGGTTCATATCAAAGCTTCAACTTTGGAATCAAAAAGCGTCGATACTATCGAGACATCAATTCAGAGTCACCAATATGGCACATGACAAGAAATCCATTTGTTGTCGATGTGTCACAATTACCAGAAGAAGTTCAGGAAGAATTTCTAGAAATGAAGGCTGATTCGTCCATGAAAGATGACTTCCATCTTTTAACATTGGACAAATTTTGGATCAAAAGATTGCCTGTTAATTCGACACTTGCCTCTCTTGCTTTACGAATACTAGTTCCTTCTTCTTCAACTTACTTGTGTGAGACAGGCTTTTCTGCCCTAGTGTTAATTAAAACCTAGAATCAACTAAGTGGTACAGAACATGCAATCTCAATTGTCTCATTAGTACCTACTCTTATTTTATTCCTGTTTTCCGATAAAAAAACATTTATTAGTTTATTTAAACGTTTAAAGTTTCTTTATTAGAATTAAAAATAAAAGTCTTTGTACCTTCATAATGTGCGTTTTTTTTGAATTAATTGAAAAAGTAAAGTGGGGCATGAAAATATAATTTATCATACCTTGTGATGACTGCGGAGAAAGTACAATAAAAAATGTAGTCAAATAGAAAAATTTCCCCATGAATGAATGAGAATGCAGTCAAATAAAAAAATCTCCCCATAAACATTAATCTGATTGCACTCTAAAGTGGTCAAAGAGCTGAACAATGTCAAAAAACCATGCTTGCCAATTGAGACGGGAAGAAAATATGTTTGCACCCAGAGTAAGACCCAGGATCTAAGTTTGCATATATCAAACGCTTCAAACTAAGTATTTCCATGAATGAAAAGGAAGACACCTTTTCCATTCCTGTTAGGCTTATTGTACCTTGTTCCTCGAAATTTACAGTTTAACTGAAATTGAGGTTCTCATCCTATATTTTGTGTAGGTAATGTTTCAAATCATTGTATCCTGTATTTACACGAGTTGGCTTCTGATCAATGAAAGCAGTACTGTTTTTAGACATGAGTCCGAGATACATTTTCCCGTGCTTGTATCCACTCATCGAGTGTGAATATTCCGTGTACTGATTTCTTTGACTTGGTTTTTTATTAATCTTTCTAGCACCCCAAGTAGGCTTCTGGATCTATAGAGGGCATGACTTTCCTTGCGAGTTCAGTCTCCCTTTCATTGCTTTCGATAACTGAATGTATTAGTACCCACAACAATGTTACATTGTTGTCTCCCGCCAGTGCATACAGTTGTTGCTGGTATTTCCAATTCAGTGCAGATGTCACTCTAGGCCTTCTTAACGCTTTGAGTGACGCCTGACTGTCAGTGTATACGGTGATCTTTTTATTTATGAACGCTCGCTCGTTATTTAATCTTGTGCAATGCAAGATAACATACACTACTGCCTAGATCCGATACAAAATGTAAGTGCTATCTGAAACTTGCTATGCACAATTTAGCAGAATGACTATAGTTTTTCATATGCGTAAGGGTCCTGTACAATGCTTATCTAATTTTTTGTTAGGAGAAATTAGTCTTAGATATACAGTAGTGGACAAAAGTATATAGACAAATATGAATATTTACCTAAATATCTTTAGAGAACGAATTCATACTTCATTGCTCCATAAACAAATGTGTTATTAGTAGAAAAACTAAATTCCCTGTTTTTACATTATCTGCAATGAACACAATACAAGTCTGAATATAAGCACTTTCTTATGAGTGACAAAAATATGTAGACAAATTCTTTTCAACACTAGTTTAGTAGAGTTGCGTGTCAGAAAAGGATTAGTTTGTGTTCATCAAGTATTGTGGAATAAGTTGAGTGATTTTAAGACCATGCCGCATGGTCTTTCGATGTAAAAACTAAGATCATTGAGTTATACAAAGATAGTCAACGTCAAGTCGACATTTCCAAAAATTTGAGGCTGAAGCGTAAAGCAGTTTGGGTAATATTGAACAAATATAAACAAAAAGGTATCTTGGAAGCCTCTAAGAGAAGTGGTCGGCCTATAAAACTAAATGCTAGATCAGTTAGGTTAATAAAAGTAATTTCGTCCAAAGATCCGTTTAAAACCCCAAGACAAATAAAAACCGAAATCGGAAAGTATATGTAGAGGGTGTGGTAGAGAGGATGGACGGTTTTAAAAAAAATCATAAAAAGGTTAATTTTTACTCGAAAACAAATTTATTGATGGAAACAGGTTTACAAGGAAATAGCATTTGAGACAGTCAAGTGTGGAAAATCACATCAGGCATGTGATTGCCGAAACCGTTGATGCAGTGGTGGAGGCGTTCTTGGAAGTTCGCGTAGACTCTTTCCAACATCGCTCTCTCAACTTGGGCGACTTCCACGCGAATTTCGCCCTTCAATTCGTCCAGAGTTCGGGGCTTGTTCGCGTATACTCTAGCCTTGAGGTGTCCCCATAAGAAAAAATCGCATATGGATAAATCTGGGGACCGAGGAGGCCAATGAACATCGCCAAACCTGGAAATAAGGCGACCAGGGAAGAGAGGGCGAATAACGTCCATGGATGCTGGAACCACACATGTCGGATTAGAACACGTCGCCGACGTAATTAAGGAAGAAAGAAGTAGGTGATCATGTCGACGTAGCGCTCTGAGTTCACGGTAACATCACGACCATTACCGTCTTCGAAGAAGTAAGGGCCAATGATGCAAGTCTGCGATACAGCGCACCAAATCGTTAATTTTGGGATGTGCAGCGGTCTTTCGTGTAACTGTTGCGGATTTTCATTAGCCCAATAACGACAATTCTGCTGGTTAGCCATGTTGTTTAGGTGAAAGTGGGCTTCGTCAACAAAAACAAAATGAGGTTCTCATTTTGGTCGATCAGTGCTTCCAACTCACGTGCGAAGTTCATTCGTTGTGCATAATCTCCGTGCTGTAACTGTTGCACAATGGCCAATTTGTAGGGGTGAAAGCGAAGATCCATATGCAAAATTCGCCTTACCGAACGATCACTAAGGCGAAATGTAGCAGCATGTTTCCGGACAGATCGAGTCGGACTGCGAAGAAAGACCTGTCGAACGCGTTCAACATTTTCAGGAGTTCGAACTGTTCGCGGCGCTCCTCTTGGTCTTCTGTTTATCAGTTCACCACACCTGCGAAGTGATTCAACCCAACGAAGGATGGTGTTTCGAGAGGGAACAGCTCTATTCCGATGAATGTTGAAGTGGCGACGAAACTCACGCTGTACGACGATGACTGACTCATTATTTCGGACGAAACAATCATAGGCGAAAACGCGGTGCTCCACCGTCCAAGGCTCCATAACGACAACTGGTAAAATAATGCTAGGATTGCACGAGTCAAACGGCACCCTCCCCACCTCTCTCGTAGACGGAGGCGGAGAGTACTACCCATCCCAAAAACGTCCGTCCTCACTGCCGCACCCTGTAGAAGATTAAATGATTTGAAGTTATTTGCACGTCGCCCGAGTAAGAAGCCGCTAATCTCGAGGAAAAACCTCAAGGACCGATTACAGTTTGCACAGTTGCATCTGGATTGGAGCATCTGTGACTGGAAGAGGATATGTTTCAGTGACGAATCCAAGTACAATATGTTTGGATCAGATGGTGTTCATTACGTTAGACGTCCTAGTGGACAAAGATTGAACCCCAAGTACACTTTGCCCACTGTCAAACATGGAGGCGGGTCTGTTATGGTTTGGGGGTGCTTTTCGGGGTTTGGGATGAGACCTTTACATAGAATAGATGGCATTATGGATGGAAGTTTGTATACACAGACATACTAAAGCATGTCATGTTACCCTATATCGAAGACAATATGCCCTTAAGATCAATCTTCTAGCAAGATAATGATCGAAGCACACTTCAAATCTCGCAAAGAAAAAATACCAGTTCTCAAATGGCCTTCACAGTCTCCCGATATGAACCCCATTGAAAATCTATGGGAATACTTAGATAAGCAAATACGAGATAAAAATTATTCAAACAAGGATGAACTTTTGCCGATTTAGAGCAAAAGTGCAGACAGATTAATGAATCTTATATCAAGAAACTTCTACAATCTATGCCGAGACTATGCCTGGCGGTGATTGATAATAATGTTTATGCTACAAAGTATTAACACAAGCATGGTTGGTTTTCTATAATTCAATGAACTTTGCTTCATTTTTCTATAATTGTTTGCTTTGTCTATATATTTTTGTCCTTCATACTTCCAGTTTTTTTTAATTTATTTTTTATTGAAGGGAGTCTAATGAATTTATTTATGTATATCTAAGTGAGTATTATACTATAACGAATTATGTATACATGTTGGTGTATTAATAAAACAAGTTAAAAAAGAAATACAGCACAATATTCATTTGTGTATATACT